GTCCGGTCTACGTAGCACTTTAAGGCTCGGACGGGACAGAGCAAAGCTAGGGCTGGGTCTGCCTCCTCTGAGAGCAGCTCTTGGAGGTTCGCCACCTGATCCCTGAAGGGAGTAGAGGGAACCTTAGGCACATAGCCGGGCCGGGGCCTCAGGGTTACCTGAGAGTCAGCCGGCCCGAACTCTAGGCACGAATTGTTGACCGAAAATGCGTGCAGGTCCCCTACCCTCTTGATGGAGGCCAATGCCAGCAGGAGCAAAGTCTTCATCGAAAGAAATTTCAGCTCGACCGTCTGCAAAGGCTCAAATGGGCCCTGCTGTAGTGCTGTGAGCACTCGAGTCAGGTCCCAAGAGGGTATAGAGGGGGGCCGTGGAGGATTTAGCCTTCTCGCCCCCTTAAGGAACCTGACAACCAGGTCATGCTTCCCAGCGGCTTCCCTTCAACGGGGTCATGGTTAGCAGCGATTGCAGCAACATAAACTTTGAGGGTGGAGGGAGACAGCCTTCGCTCCAACCCTTGCTGCAAAAAGGACAGCACAACTCTGATCGTGCATATTTGGGGGTCTTCTCGGTGAAAAGAACTCCACTCAACGAACAGGTTCCACTTCCAAGCGTAGGCGTGTCTCGTAGACGGTGCTCTCGCTGAAGTGATGATGTCAACTACCTCTTGAGGTAGGTCACTTAGAACCTCTGCGTCCCGTCCAGGGACCAGACATGAAGTTTCCAGAGGTCTGGACGCGGGTGCCAAAGATAAACTTTGAGGGTGGAGGGAGACAGCCTTCGCTCCAACCCTTGCTGCAAAAAGGACAGCATGACTCTGATCGTGCATATTTGGGGGTCTTCTCGGTGAAAAGAACTCCACTCAACGAACAGGTTCCACTTCCAAGCGTAGGCGTGTCTCGTAGACGGTGCTCTCGCTGAAGTGATGGTGCCAACTACCTCTTGAGGTAGGTCACTTAGAACCTCCGCATCCTGTCCAGGGACCAGACATGAAGTTTCCAGAGGTCTGGACG